GAGGCAGCCAATTGATGTGTTTCTCTCACATCGATGTTTCTCTGTCTTTCCCTCTCTTCCACTCTCTCTAAAAATCAATGGAAAAATACCCTTGGGTGAGGGTTTAAAATAATAATAACAAAATAAAGAAATAAATATTCTCAGGTAAGGATTTTTAAAAAAGTAATGGTGGATTGTGTCTGCATTTCTCTATTTTCCTCTTTATTTGTGAATTATTACACCAATAATTTAAAAAAGAGTTTAGCTATATTATTTTTGCCAGCCCCACAATCCTTTTATAAGATAGCCATACACACACACACACACACACACACACACACACACACACACTGGTAAGTAGGCTGAGTGCGGGTGAAGTCCCGTCGGTTGGCCGTGGCTACCTTCCTGGCGGACGCTGGAGGGAAGCCCCCAGGGAAGCCCGCAGTGGGAAGCCCACCCTCTCCTCCCTGCGCCCATCACATGCCCAGGGCTGGTGTGACCTCTGCGTGCTTCCTCTTGGCGATGTCCTGTTGAGTCCTGGCTGAAGGATTTCGCATGTGGAGTCAGGACACTCGCGTTCAGGTGTGACCTCTGCCATTTGCCCCCTAAATGACCCGGGATAAGTGACCTCTCCAGTCACCCGTGTCCTCACCTGAAAAGTGGGTGTAAACCTGCCGGCCCCTCCCCTGCGGGCGGCTGCGAGGAGCATGTGGAACAGCGTGTCGAGAGCACTTGGCAAACAGCAAGGCCGTTACTGCCGGACGCTGCCCCTCGGAGGCTGTTTCAGGCAGCAGTGACGAGGGGGCGTAGTTCTGGTTCCGGAAAGTTCTTCCCCTGTACCCTAAACACCACACTGCTGATTCACATGTCATTTTACTTGTCCCCTCCCTCACAATCCCCCTGCCCCTGCTGGTCCACAAAGGTCACCTGCTCTCGGAAGGGAGCAGAGAGGAGGCGGGGAGGCCAAGGTGGGGGTCAGGGAAGCATCTTTTGAGCTTGGAAAGGTTTCAGGGAGAGAAGTTCCTCTGAGGGCAGCAAGGAATCCTTCTGTTCCACCTGGAACAGCTTGTTCCCACCCCACCCCCCACCCCCGAGGAAAACTGCTTCGTCTTCTCCGCAGCCGGGCATCCAGCGAGGCGCTGTCAGGGCTGCGCTCTTAGCGCCCAGCCTCTCTGTGGTCCTCGGCCGGATCGGGTCGGGATGGTGGCAGCACCGCCTGGGGATGGCTGCTCGGAAGAGGAGCCAGAGGAGGAGCCTGGGGGGGTGGGGGCGGGAGGCCAGCCGCTGAGTCCAGGTCTCTTCAGCCGTTTCCACTTGAGATGTTGACGTTCTGTACCCAAAGGACGAGCAAGCGAGGGGCCTGCCTACTCTGAATGGTCCCAGGGGGTGCGGTGAGGGGGGAGGCCTGTCACGGAGCAGAGGGAGCCTGTCGTGGGAGCGCACGCTCTGCAGATAGGGAGCTGGAGGCCCGGACCCTGCCCTCTGAGCCCCTCTTCGTCTCCTCCGCAGACAGACCTGCACGGAGCAGGGCAGCTGGGGCCTGGCAGGGGCAGCAGGCTCCTGCTCCCACCGCGTCAGCCAGCCTCTTGCTCGGGAGCAGAACGGTGGCCTAAAAACAGTAATTTTCTGAACAGATAACATAAAGGCTGAAGAGTAGAAAAGGGCATGTGACAGACGTCTCTCCTGCTGGCTGCTCCTGTGTCTGGTGACAGCATTTCCAGATCCTTCCAGAGGCACTCTGGGCACATGCAGACAGGCAGAGTGTGTGTGCGCGCACGCACGTGTGTGTGTGTGTGTGTGCGCGTGTGCCGTGCGTGTGTGTGCGTGTGCGTGCATGTGTATGTGTGTGCACATGTGTGTGCGTGTGTGTGTGTGTGTGTGTGTGTTCTTCCCTTTCGGTACCGTTCTACACAGATGGCTGTGCAGTTCGCTTCTTCACTCCCCACTCCGTCGCAGAGATGAGAAGACTGAGGGGCTCGCACACCCGATCCAAACTCACGCTGTCGGTGTGGATGAGCCAGACCTGACTCACCTCTCCCCGTGGACAGGCAGCCCCGCCTCCACGTGCTCTCCGAAGCCCGTTCGGCAATCCCACAGCCCTGTCTGCAGACGTCACAGCGGGATCGCGAGGACGCGTGCACTGGGGGTTTCGGTCCCTCTTGCCAAAATGCCTCCGCAGAGGAGCCGATTTCCTCTGGGCCCAGTCATTCCCTCAAGGGTGGTTTGAGAGGTCACTGGCCCGGTGGAGGGCTGGTCCAGCCTGTGCCCTGAGTTAGGACAGACCTGGGTGCTTTTTGCCGTCACCAGGGGTGCCAGAGCTCGCTGGGTCAGGCCCCCCTGTACATGAAGAACCAAGGCCCAGAGGGGCTCTGCCCTAGGGCTTCTGCAGGCTTTAGGATGTGGTTACCCCTAAACTGCCCGCATCCCAGCCTGCTCTGTTCTGCCCCTCCGTCGGGTCTCCAACGCCACCCCCTCTCCAGAAGGCCCCCAGGAAAGCCTGTGTCCAGTGGCCAGAGTGAGAGTTAGGAGCGTGAACCACAACATTTTCTGCTGGATGTGGCGCTGGGAACTAGCCCGTCCTGGCGTCGCCGACAGCAGCCAGGCTAGTGCCCCTGTGAGGACTCGCCCACTGGAAGAATCACTGATGGACACGCCCCCCACGCACACCCCACCCCAGGAGCCTGAGGCCAGGGAGGTGCGCAGGCCCCACAGACACCAGCCCAGCAGTGCCTTCTGGTCCCCAGACACCGCTCTGGCAGCCTGCACGCTCTGAGCCGGGCTGGCATCTGCATTCCTCGCCCTTCTCTGGGCGTCTCTGGGGAGTGTTGGTGCCACGACGCCGGGGCCTGGCCGGAGGAGGGCTGGGCCCGGGCCAGGTGCCTCCCGTGTTGTCCTGCCTGCTGGACGCTGGTCTCCCCTGAGGAGCTGCCAAGCCATCAGCTTCTTCCTGCTCTCGGTCCTCCCCCTCCCCCTCCGGCCTCCAGCCTCCCCTCGAGGCAGCCCTTGCTTCTCAAGACCTTTGGAAGCATTGGGGCTTTGTGTGGGAGGCCTTTCGAGTCGGAAGTTCAGAGACCTGCGGACTCGTGTGGAGCATCCCGTGTCCCGCTGCGCCCAGAGGCCAGCCTGGGCTTGGGGGGGAAGGTTCCCGGGGTGACCTCGTGGTCTAGGGGGCTCCCTGGGAAAGGCACGCCTCCTTTCACTGGTTACTTCCGAAACGGCCACCCTGGAAACATGCAGCCCCACTCTCTGGGCACCAGAGGGAGAGGGGATTGGAACTGAGCCTGAGCCTCACCCCTCCCCCTCCTTGTCTTTGCCCCGGGCTGCCAGCCTTTCCCCAATACCCCCCCCCCTTGCCTGGGCAGGGCCTGGGGGCAGGAGAGCACATCCTGCACAGTTGGTGTCATGTTGGACGCCTCGGGTGACGGCTGGCAGCCCACAGGTGGAGCTGCTGGGGGACGTCCAGAGAGGGAGGCTCACAGGCTGAGGTCAGGTGCCTGGGTGAAGTGAGGCCCCAGTGGAGGCCCTGAGGGGAGTGAGGACGGGAGCAGGAGAGGGGACCCAGGGCGTGCAGGGACTGGGGACAGGCGTCCGGGGCATGGCACGGAGCAGCATGGCGACGGAGGCTCGGCTGCGGCTTCGCGGCTGACCAGTCCTTGTCTAGGTCAGAAGCAGCAAGTGGGCAGCTTAGCCCTGTCCGGGACATCTGTGCTTTCACTCACGTGATTTAAACAGTTTGAATAACACATTTAACATAAAAGGTTCCTTCAGTGACCTGGAAGATGTGAGAGACCAGACCCAAATCCCGATTGTTTCTCTTGGAAAACAAATCAGTATCCGGACACAGTCTTGTGTGTTCGTGTCCTGGACCAAACCCAGCAGGAGTGGACGCTCCCGGTTCTGGAGGCCGGACTCCGGGACCCAGGGCCAGCAGGGTGCCCTCCCTCGGAGACTCCGGGTCAAATCTTTCCTGGTCTCTCCGGCTCCTGGCGCTTGTCATTCCGTGGCTTGTAGATACCTCACTCCAGGGTCTGCCTGTCACCCGCTGCCTTCTCCCCCGGGTGTGGGACTCTGGGTCCTCTTCTTACAAGGACAGTCGTGGCCTTGGGGTAAGGACCCGCCCTCCTCCAGTCTGATCTCATCTTACCTTGATGACATCTGCAAAGACGCTATTTCCAAGTAAGGTTACATTCGTGGGGCCTAGTTAGAGCGCCGGCCTCTCTCTTTAGGGGACACAGTTCAACCCAGAACACTGATCTTACGGCAGAGTCAGCGCCATAGCATGATGACCCCCTGCCTGCTCCCCCCGGGTTGCACAGGCCCCATTCGAGTGGACAACCTCTTACTCCTGGCACGTTCACAGCCCGTCTCCCTGCCTGCTTCCTCCTGGTTCCTGTCCCTAAACTGTCACCCTGCAATGCCCTTTCCCAGTCCTGCCTCCTCCCTGAAGTCCCCCCAGCACCTTCGTCGTGAATTCCCACCTGCGGACTCAGGGGCACGTTCATGCTGTACATTTTGACAGTACTGGCTTGTCCCGTCTGGTCCTTAGCGTATGCTGGCATGTGATGGCTGCAGCATTGACCTTTGTCCCTGTCAAATACCTTAGGAACTTCCCTCGTCTTATCTCAGGCAGCCTGGTTCCTCGACGTGTGCCTGGGCACCGCGCTCTGTAGGGAGGACAGGGGCCAACGGTATTTGACCAAATGGGAGAAAACAGCATCTGATGTGTGTCCGTGAGAAGCCTTTCACCCAGGCCACTCTGACCCGGCCGAACACCCTCAGGCAAGGGGGCCGTCACGACCCCGCTGGATGACGAGGGGATTTCTGGACACGCTCGCCTTCAGGGATGAGCCATCGGTGTATAGAGGCTGGTCCCAGAATTCAGTTTAATCATCTCATTCTTCCCCTTGAGATTTGGGCTCTTGGAAGTGGAGGAGCCTCGCTCTGCCCCCCCGCCCCCCGCACCTGCACCCACACACCCCGCCCCTAAGACCTCTAACAGCTCCATGTGGTTTCCTCCCCAGCTTCCGGCCTCTCCTCCTCGCCATCGACGCCCACCCAAGTGGCCAAGCAGCACTCCTTCCCCCTCGAGTCCTATAAGCAGGAGCCTGAGCGACTGGAAAACCGCATCTATGCCTCGTCCTCCCCTGCGGACACGGGCCAGAGGTTCTGCCCGGCCCCCCACAGCCCGGCCCGGCCTCCGGCAGCGTCCCCCGCTCACTACGCTCCCTCCAGAACTGTAAGTCAGGGCGTGGGACCGGCCTGGGAGGCAGGGCCCAGTCTGAGTGTGCTCCCCTGGAGCTGGGGCTGTGGCTCCTGACAGCCGTGGGGTATTTATCGGGAATCACAGGCTGCGAGAAAAAGTGGGAGGGCCCAGTGGGCAGATGGAAGGCCCATGACAAGTGGTAATGCCTGGAACGTGACCAGAACCAGCTCTTTGTTCCCTCTGCTTCTTAAAAAAAAAAAAAGTTTTGTTTGCGTTTATCTTGAGTGGGAAACTAACGTGACAAGTTACAGGCAAAGCAAAAAGCGAACACACCGCTTTTAAAAATGGGAATGTGCTTCTAGAGTTTTCTGATAGGAATTTGCCGTCGCTGGAGGGGGGCAGCATGCTGAGAGGGGAGCCTGCCTGGTGGAGGGGAGCAGCGTCTCTGCTCCTTCCGAGGGGGCCGGCGAGGCTTCACGGAGGAGCCCCCGCTGCCCCACACGCGGCCTGCACGTGGGCGCGGGGCTCCGTCCCTCTTGCCTGCCTGGTCCGCGGTCCGTATGCAGAGGCTCTGTACTGGGTCTGTGCTCGGCAAGGACGTACGACCTACCACTGAGATCGACCTGTGCAGATACAGCTCCGATTCGGTTGTTTTCCTCTCCTGGGGCTGGTGGGATAGTGGCACGAGCTGGGGCCTGATGGCAACAGGAAGCCTGTCTCGGCTCCGGAGGCTGGAAGTCTGGCGTCGAGGCGTCGGCGGGACCGAGCCCTCGGAGGTCTCTGGGGCTCACGGTCTCCCCAGCTCCTGTGGCCCCAGGCTTTCCTTGGGCAGCAGCATCACTCCGCCCTCTGCCTCCCTCCCACATGGCTTCTTCCCTCCTTGTCTGTCTGTGTCCGGATTTTCCTCTTATAAGGACACCAGTCATATTGGACCGGGGCCCAGCCTGACCCAGTATGACCTCATCTTAGCTTGATGACATCTGCAAAGACCTGACTTCCAAATACAGTCACGTTCACAGGTATCGGAGTTAGGGCTTCAGCATGGCTGTCGGGGGAAGGGGCGGAGGGGGGGGTGACGACCCGTCCAGAACAGTTATCTGTGGGAGAAAGGAGATGTGCCCTCGTGCAGAGGACATCCTGCGACTCTCCTGTCCCTCAGTGGCTGTTCTGTTAGCTCTGTGCTCTGCAGGGACTCGTGTGTTTTCGGTGCTGAGGGAAAAGGTGAGCCATGGTTCCCGCCTTCTCGGGCTGCAGCCTCACTGGGGCAGAATGAGCCTGGGAAAGGCGAGGCAAACGCAGAAGTTGGTGGGATACGTAGTGAAGCCAACAGTCTAGTCGTCCTGCAGGAGGGGAAATCGCATCGGCCCAGGGCAGTGGAGGCTCCCAGGCAGAGGTGCCCACTGAGCTGGGCCTGAGTCGCTGGT